TCTTTAAAGGTCACCTGTTATATAAAAACCTGTCTGAAAATGAGCTGATCAGATTTTGGCCACTTTATGATGTCATAACGATTTTTTGGCTTGTGTAACCATTAGCCAATCAGCAACCAAGGTAACACCCACCCACCTTATCACCTGAATCTCCTCCTAGAGCACCATTGTGTTCTTTTTAACCAAATCTCTCTCAGAGGGGCGTGGGGAGGGGCTCCTTATTTTCATCTAAAGTAACAGACAGAGAATCAGCACTTTTGAAACAGGGCTGAAACAGAGGGGATTATGGGTAATGCTGCAATGATCTGTTTGGTGTTTCGAGCCAATCAGAGACATGTTTTGTATATGAGACCTATAATATGAAAAACAGTATCATAGGGGACCTTTAATGTCAGACAGAACTACATCAGGTCCACTTATACATCCATACGATCTTATAACTGGAAACAACAAACAACTTTTGACTAATCTAAATGTTAAGAATATACTAGACTTTCCTGTCATTCTTCTCAACACGTCACCATTTCAATTATATTAGAAAACAATAAAGTATTTAAGCACCTAGAGAAATATGATTTGCCAATTTTGTTTATAAAAAGCATCCCTCAGTAAATTGGATGATTTAATGACAATGGAAGCCAGTAAACCGACGGGCTGCTTAAAGACATCTAATGCATCGAGGAAGAAAAAACATACACATCTGTGACTGTGATTAGGAGTAATGTCCTTGTTCTTTATGATCAAATCCAATAGGGGTAACTAAATGATTACTTCTACTTTAGTTCTAAGTAATCAAAACAGGAAACACGTTCCACATGATGTCAAAACACAGATCCCTTGCCTGCAGTCATGAAATGAGGCGAGGCAAAATAACAAACCTCTTTATTGTAGAAACTAGACAACGCCACTGTGGTTGTGTAAATGACTGCTTTGCATTCTTAGATTACGATTCTTTAGAAATAGATAAGATAAATAGTTCCTAGACATTCTGCGGCATGATCCAAACATTCATAAAAAACCCTTTCTGATCACTTGTTTCTGTGAGATGCCAATAGAGAAGCAGAGGTGGAAGAAGTACTCAGAGCTTTTACTTATGTAAATGTAGAACTGTGTTTACTGAGTGTAGAATACTCGGTTACAAGTCAAAGTCCTGCAATCAAAATGTCACTCAAGTAATAGTACAAAGTATCAGCATCAGAGAATACTTATACAAGTACCGAAAGCAAAATTACTCATTCTGCAGATTGGCCCAATTCAGAATAATATATCATGTATTTAATTACAATTATTGATGTATTAAAGCTGGTAAAGGTGCAGCTAGTTTGAATGACTTTGGCAAGTCAGGGTAGCTTGTGAATTTACTCCAGGTGGAACTAAAGTCTGATTTAACACTTGATTATATTTCACATCATTAAACCAAATCTGTAAAGTAAATAAAGGTATTACATACATGTAGTGGAGTACAAGTACACTATTTACCTCTGAATTGTAGTAGTATTCAGTAGCATACAATTGAAATACTCAAGTAAAGTACAAGTTTCTCAAAATGGTACTTTAGTAAAGTAGTTGAGTGAATGTACTTAGTTACTTTACACCTCTGTAGATAAGATTACAAAACCTATGTAATTGTTACTGTTAGGTAAGTTGGATACTATTGCACATACAAAACAGTTAATATTGCAACTTTGAAGGAGGCAGGTAACTAGTTGGTTAGTTGTGTACTTGCCAAGGGATTATTTTAAAACCCCGATCACTATTTAGCAGGAAGGTGTAACAGAATCCCCGCAAGCGCAGTTAGCCGGTTTCATCGAAACTCTCCGGGATGACATGGCCCAAGTCATGGGAACACTATGTCGCAGCTATTAATACGGCCTTTTAACGCCCTATGTGCAGTTTCCCCGGACAGGCTTCATCTGCAACAGTGTATGAACACAGCAAATGTAGAAAAGCGGACAACACACGGTAGATAGCGGGGTATCCTGGCTCCGCTGCATACCCGACTTTGACACTTGCCCTCCGGCTACACAGAACCAGACACTCGCTCGTTAGCCATCACGCCAGAGCACTTTCTCTGGAAGCTATTAATATTGTCAGCAAACCTCGGACATGCATGTCACTGCTATGCAAGCTGCAAAAAAAACACCGTTTGTCGCCAGTTCGTCTCACGTTAACCTATTTTTCATGTTCGGTTGACAAATACCGACTGCAACTCACAACCAAGAACGCCCAAGTCCATTATCGGACAAGCAGTCAAACCAATGCTGAAATTAGAGCCTAATAACAACTGTATCTTACCTGCATTGTCAAAGCTATCCGTGGTCAAAAGACAGGCATCAAACCTGAAGCATCGCCCAGTGATACAAACCAGTGGCAAGGAAAACAGAAATAACCGATACCGCCAATCGCCCCTCCTCCGCTAGCATAGGCGGATGCGCTTTATTAGCATTAAACATCCCATTGGGTTTGTATAGCAAACTTCTGTTTATGAATGCACCAAAATGTCACATGCATTTTTAACCCTACGCTACAAAACATGTGCATGACTGTTAATTGGGGGGTTTTAAGATTTCAAAATGTGAAGAAAAATATAAATGTGCATTTCCGACTGAGGTGCGTCCGATATTGGACACACTAGCGCTAGCCACATAGCTAAGCGATGCTAACGTTAGCTACCTAGCTAGCCCTCTGCGACACGATTTTAAGCGCCCGGTGAAAATATTAACGGGCCGGTGGTGCTCCGTTAAAAGCCAACAATATTCAGCACTACCGTGACACCAGATGGAACAAAGCAGCTTCAGAAAAACATTAAAATATGTTAGTACTCGTTAAGTTAATGACCACATCGCTCACCATCTCTAGGCATCCACCCTCCTGACAGCGAATCCCCTGTCTGTGTGACCGCCGTTAATATGCGGTAATACAGACACTCACTTCCGGTGAGACCTTCATAATAAAACCAAAATACAAAATATAAATCAACGTTTACACTAAAAATCACCGATAGAAATTATTTTAAATTGTATATTTGTGCATGTTCAGTTATGCACATTTGAAAAAAGTTAAGGATACGTCGATAAAAACAAGCACTTCCGGTAAGACCTTCACAATAAAACCAAAACTATTTACACACATTTAGATTCAACTTTGTCATTGTCTTAGTACTAAGATAAGAGGACCAGAAGTGCAAAACAAGCAGAAAGTGCAGTGTTATTAATGGTATAATGTAAATATATACATCTGACAGTATTTACACTATGGACAGTATTATAGAAATTAAATACACTATATATCAGGTACAAAAATACAGTATAATACAGTATAGACAGACAGCATATATAACTCCAAGTGTACGGTAGAACCACAGGTACAAATGGTGGGATTTTAAAATGTAAATCTTACATTTTTGCATTTTTAGTCATCCAATTAGTAAAGTGTTTCATATATATACTGGACAATGTTAACCTGTGTATAAATACAATTACATATACTGTGAACATATATCATATAAGTAAGCTACATAAGTATCAAAGGTAAAAATGTTGCTGTGATGAAATTAAATATATTATCCTTTCCCCAGAGTTGAAAATAAAATGTATTTCATATTGATTAATCAACTGAATATTTCCTGGAGCCGACTAATCGATTGGTTTAGAAACTATAGAACATAGTGAAAAAAGTCCATCTCAGTTCGTTAAAGGCCAAACTACAAATATATTCACTTTATTATGATAGATATCAGAAAACAATCAGGACAATCCTGCCTCCCACAGAGGCTAAAAAACCCTGCATTGTCTTCTATTCTTGCATGGAAGAATATCATTCAAAGATGAACTGGTTATCAAACCAGTTTTTATATATGTCGGTAATGTAGGATGATGTATTGGAAATGTCTGGAGTTTGCTTGTCACTTCTACTCCTGCATGTATTGAACTTTCCTCTGAAATGCATCAGCTGCCTTGTTTTTGAAATAAAAAATGTTTAATGAATCCATTCAGATTTCTTCGTTGTACTTATTTGGTCAAAATTGTTGTTCCTGTTCTTTTTGATTCACCACCCTGATAATACCTTCCTTTATTCAGACGGTGGACAGAGCCTTAAAAGGAATATTTAAGTTATGGCTAGATACTTAGCTTTTCTCGCCCTCTAACGTTTGATAAAGAGCATTACACCTAGCACTCTGGACTTTTAAAAACGTCCACTAGGCTGCACACTTTGCTTCATGATACAACAGTGTGTTTTTATTGAGTGGGTTCATCAGTATATATATCTAATGCATTTGAGAATACGTAATGCTCTGTTGTCTGTAGTGTAAGTGATACATGTTTTGGTGATTTAATGATTTAAAGAATTCTATATAATTGTGATGCTTTTAAGTTCACTACCTTGTCAATGGAAAATGGTGTTGAGTCTTGGGAGGCTGTGTTGGCTGGGAATATTATTTATGCATGATATACCGAATCACGACTACTTCTAATATTGAAAGTCTATAGATGAGATAAGATAGATAAGATAATACTTTATTGATCCCAATTTTGGAAATGTTTGTGTTGCAGCAGCATAAAAAGACATGGCATTGTACAATCAAAATTAAAAGACTAGAAATAAACAAGAAAATAGAAAATAGAAGGATTAACAATGAGATCAACTATGAACTGTCTGTACTGTCTGAGTATGTCACTGTGCTGCGGCTTTCACTCAGCCAACACTCTACCCCTGTGTGTGTGTGTGTGTGTGTGTGTGTGTGTGTGTGTGTGTGTGTGTGTGTGTGTGTGTGTGTGTGTGTGTGTGTGTGTGTGTGTGTGTGTGTGTGTCTGGATGGCCTGGATATAGAGTGTCTCTAGTAGGAGGGGCATGTTGGATATCTGCTCTGGATGCCCTTCAAAAAGCTTCCCTCTGACCGGCTCTTTCCCACTCAGAGTCACTTCTTTTTGCAGAGCGGAGCACACAGGAAGCCTCTCCTCTCTCTCTCGCACACCATGGCTCTCACGCAGGACCCAAACTTCCAGAAGCTGCAGGACTGGTACACCGCCCACGCCCTGAACCTCAACATGAGGCACATGTTTGATGCTGACAAGGAGAGGTTCAATAAATTAAGGTATGCACACTGTACTGTTTAACTTTATTGTCATATGCACAAAGCCACAGTACAGAAATGGCAATGAAATTCTTCTGACCTGAGCTCCTCCAACAATGCAACATGTAATAAAATACAAAAATACAAAATAAAAAGTAGTGCAAAAAGTCTTAGAGAGTCAATACACTGACACTAGAACTCATTCTATCAGCAGTCAAACCCTGCAAAACTGTGCAACTCAGCATTAATATAGAATATAATAGAATCATTTAATGTCATTATACATCTACAATGAATGAAAGAAAAGCTAATATCTTAATAATACGCTACTGTACTGCATATATTGTGATTTTGTGAAGTCATATTGCAGTTCAAAGTACACATTTTTACTTTGACCTTTTATTTTGTATTGCATAATTTAACCTATGTAAATATGTTTTCTACTTTACTTAGACGTATCATTTCATGTATGTTTTTTGAATAAACATTTTTCTCTCTTTTTTACATTCTTTTTATCAGTAATAATAATACTGGTACTAGTATAACCACTTTCACTAAAGTACAGTATGTAACTACTTCTTTGAACTCTGCTGAGCAGGAGAGATATTTAGTGTTGGTTGATATTGATATTGGTTTCATTGTGTGTTTAGTTCCCCTGATAACGCTCTGATGCATTTCACCTGTGCGTCCTTGTTACGTAATACTGTAAACTCAAACTCAGAACACCACACGACCACAGAATCCTAATGTTTGTTTGGATATGTGTCATTCAGTCAGAAAATATGACTCTTGGTTGTTCTTATCTCTGACGTCTCTCTGTGTTTGGACAGCTTGAACCTGAAAACTGAGGATGGAGATATTCTTCTGGATTACTCCAAGAACCTCGTCACTGATGAAGTCATGAAGATGTTGGTCGATCTGGTAAACACACACACACGCACACACACACGCACGCACACACACACGCACACACACACACACACACACACACACACACACACACACACACACACACACACACACACACACACATACACACA